TTGCTGAATACCCTACACGAAACTTGAACAAAAGCTACCAAACCAAAGAGTACCAAATCTTCGTTATTTTCGGGGTTAAACTAAGTGGATGACTAAAATTTTGAGGACTCTGAGACACAGTACATCTCATATGCTACAGATCCTAAAATTAATCAATACCTTTTTTAATAAAACAAGAAAGAGGCAAAGAAAACATCAAAATATGAAAGACAAAAAAATCTTTACACAATCCATCAATTAATTCTCGTTGAAATGCTTGGTACATTACAGAAGCACAATGGTCTAAACGCTGTAGGTCCCTAAGCTAAACTTATACACACAAGCACATATAAAACTGACAAATTTAACATTTAAGCCAATATGATCGCACTGAAACTTATACTTAATCTGGGACAGGCAAAAAAGGTGTCGTGTTGCAATTTGAAAACAACCCAAATTCTTACCCTTTGAGAAAACCGGGAATTGTCCACTGAGTTGCTCCAGCACCTGAAAATCAAATCAATAGGGAAAAAAACATGAGCACAAAATCAGAATTGACATGAACAGAGAACGAACGGGAGAGCATCGTACCTTAGCAGCTCTGGTGAGACGATCTCCACTCTCGCCGACGGAGATGTTGAGAACGAGCTTCTGAACCTTGATCTCCCTCATCGGGTTCGATAATTTCTTCTCGGACGCCTACATTATACAACAGCATGATATAGCGCAAGCAATGCATAGCTACAAGACCATGAATTAGGGAGAAACTGTGAAGATAAGGAACTACGAGATGCAGAACAATTTACCATGGCGATACGGCGGTTGAGACGACGCAGACGGGGGAAATGAGCCGATGGTTGAGCTAGGGTTTACATGAACGTTTTATATATACCATAGGGGTAAAGCCCACTGTATTTTCGCCTCCAACCCAACTTATAATCGGTATCAGGCCCATCGAATAATATATGTAAGGCCCGTAAAATATTTGAAAAGGTGAGCTTTTAGCCCAATGCCACCACATGAAAAGTAAGGAAAGATTACAATGGCCCCATGGTACTATTTTTATTATAACTGAAGGTTCAAAAGTAACACACAGTATTCTCTTGGTACGATTTTTATTATAACTAAAGTTCTTATTTACAAGATAATTTCTCATCGCACAATCGTAATAATACAATTATATTGGGGGCAAAATATTCATTCACATATACATAATAATTCATTTGATATTTCATAACACTCCCACTTGAATGATATTTCCTAAACATATCAAAACAAAAGTAATTCCAAATATCGTGAAGTGCAGCTTGTGGCCATTAGAATTCAGCATGTCAGGAAAGCCCGGTGGGACACAACATGAGCATTGTGGAAGCATAATATCGCTCCCCCTCAAATAGATCATCCTTAGTGCTCATTAAAACCATGTCAAGGAAATCTAGTAGGGAAAAAACATGATCGAAGAAAAAAGAGTACAACTACTCCAGACACTTCTCATCATCATGAGGAATCATATCAGTGGGACAAAATTCTAATGAAGGAAAAAAAAAAAGTACAATATTCATATAATTTGTTGCATGTGGTCTCACCACCTGGCCATTCCACATCGTCGACTATCATTAATTAATACATTGACTGGTCCATTTAGTCGTTCAATATCATTTGTTGCTGGTGGCTGCAACACTTGGCCATTTCATATAATCGTTCATACTTCTTTATATTGCTTTGATCAACAATTGATCTGCCGACTACCATTAAATATTACTTGCTGGCAGCAGAGCCGCATTGGTCGTTCTATGTAGCCATATATACTTATTTCATATCACAAGGATCAAGCCATAAATATTCACATGTTCACATACCAAATAATTTTCACAATAACAAATTTCGAGCGTTTCATAATGACAATATGTATTAATAAAATTTAATAAATTGTATCAATATTGAATTTAAAATAAAGCTTTCATTATTTCAAGCATAATGAAATTAACAGCAAATACTTTTGATAATGCTCGTTTTCAGTTATTGAGAAAATAAATCTTGAGGTTAATGAAAACAATATTACTAATAACATTTTGTCTTACTTTGTTTGTCACTTATCTCATACTTAAATCATGAATTGAAGACGATAAAACACATCTACGTATGTACCAATAAATTGACACTTATTTCTTTGGTGTATTGAATAGTGTGCCATCAAGTTTTTTTTTTTTTTTTTTTTTTT